ACCTAACCCAAGCTAGACCAATCAAAGTTCTTCACAAGAATTTTGTATATAAAATGAAATCATCTTTCTTTCTTGGTATAAAAAAATCAGAATACATATATTTAATAATTGCTGGTAATCAAGTTCTATATAAGAATTAAAGATTAAAGGGGGAGTAATAAGATAATGAGGAATAGGAAAGAAGAATTATATAAATGAAGTATTGCTGAAAGGCCAAAGTAACTTTTCATATTTTTTTAAATATTTATTTATTATGTATACAATATTCTGTGTGTATGCCTGCAGGCCAGAAGAAGGCACCAGACCCCATTACAGATGGTTGTGAGCCACCATGTGGTTGCTGGGAATTGAACTCAGGACCTTTGGAAGAGCAAGCAATGCTCTTAACCTCTGAGCCAACTCTCCAGCCCCCCAACTTGTTTTTGTTAACAAATTAAAAAAAAAAAATCTTTCACTTCAAAAAATTAAATCTCAATGGGTGCGATAATTTAATTGAATTTTTTTTTTTTTTTGTTTTCTGAGACAGGGTTTTTCTGTTACAGCTGTAGCTGTCCTGGACCTCAATCTGTAGACTAGGCTGGTCTGGAACTCACAGAGATCTGCCTACTTCTGCCTCCCAAGTGCTGGGATTAAATGTTTACACCATTACCCGGCTAGCCAAATTGAATTTTAAATTATAGATTATTCTTGCTTTTCTGGTTCTTAAAGAAGGTAATCTCCCCTCCATAGATGGGCAATGGAATGCCTCTGAAAAAATCTCTGAAATTGTCTGCTAGTCTTCTTTCTTCTTCCCCCTTTCCTCCTCCTCCTCCTCCTCCTCCTCCTCCTCCTTCTACTCCTTCTTCTTCTTCTTCTTTTTTTTTTTTAGTTTAGCTTATGATAGTTTTCTAGGAAGTTAAGTAGTATGTCCACTCAGCACTTCTGATCAGAGGCAGGGAAGATATTCCTTTGTGTTCTCAAGATTGATAACCACCACTCACATGACATCATTGAACACTTAAAAATGTAACTGAATGGTTGAGATACTGAATTTGTACCTCTTTTAATTTTAACTAAAGATGAATTCTCTCTGTGGCTTGTGACTGATGTGTAGACAGTGCTGGTCTAGAGCATGAGGTGTGGTTAGGGGTCTCCTTCTGGGTTCAGATCTCTTTATTTTCCATCCTAGCCAGTTGATTTAGCAGATGAGCCTCAGATTTGATGTGGGCAAAGACAGTGATCAAGCTGAGGCTCTAGGCCAAGACAGCAGCCCCTCTCTGTCTCCTTGGCGTTCGTCTCAGCCTCCGCTGCTGTCTCGGCCTGGGATCCTGGAGTGGATTTAGGACTTTCCCTTGTTATTCCTGCTCAGGGTGGACAGCGATCTTTTAACATTTTATTCACTTTTTGTTGTTTCTGTGACGTTGCTTTTTGTAGATGGAATGAATCCAGGCCTTTTGCTTGCTAGACAGGCAGTCACTGTAGTTGTCCCTGAGCTATATTCCAGACCTAGTCAATTCACTGTTTGTTGAGATAACAAATTCTCAAGTAGCTTCTCATGTAATTTAAGGTAAAACTGAGATCCCGTACTGTGGCTCCTCACCCTTTGGCCATGCTGGCTTTTCATGGTCTAGAATGTGTCATTTCCATTTCCTTGACTTGTACTTATTTTCTTTCTGCCTTTTTAACATTATGTTGTGCTACTCTTGGTTGGGCTAAAATTTCCTCGTTGTTTAAGTTTCAGCTCATCTCATACAGTCTGTATTCCCTCTCGAACCCTTCCTTGTGCCCTCAGGTTAGCTCCACCCCCTACATTGTTCTGTAGCTTCCTGCACTTTTCCTCAGCTTACTAGTATAGTCTGGTTCTTTGCTTATAACACCTGTGCCTCTCACGGGCCTCTGCGATTCATGATGGTCAGCAGGCCAGGTTCTGCCCTCTGTTCTGTCCCCAGGGCTTAGCATAGTGCCTAGCATGGGCTCTTCCATGTGCTAATAAGTTAAGGAGTAAAGAAGTGAATTCAGGTTTGGTTCTGGAGCCTGTGCTCCACACCAATTAGCTCTGCTGCCTGTGTTCTGTCAGGTGGCCCCGTCTTACAAGTTACCGCTTTAGGGTCCAGCACTAATCACTGCTCTTGGTGTCGTGTCTGTCATGTATCTCGTACTTGAAACAGCATGGAAACCTTGCCAAATCCCAGCCTTTCCTGGGCGTCAGTGAAGCGTGTATGCATCTCATCCCAGCCTTGCCTGGGCGTCAGTGAAGCGTGTATGCATCTCATCCGGTGTTGGTAAGAGTAGCGCAGCTCTGGCCTGGTGAGAAGGGAGCATTTTATTGTTAAATTAGAGAGGAGGCGGTGAGAGCGGCGGAGGGCCAGCGCCTCTGTAGTGGCGGTGCTTGATTAAACAGCGTCTTGTAAAGGCTGCGAAGTCTCTAATTAGAGTGTTAGTCTGGTAGTAATTTCTATCAAGTACAGTTGCATCCTCACTGCTCCTGGTGAACGAGTTACTCTCACACCCAGAAACGAAGGGAGCAGGGCCAGCTGTGTTACAACCTTCTTACAACGTAGCAATCATTAGGACTGACTCAGCACAGTTGTTAGGCCTGGCTGCTGAGGAGGCGTTCCTGTTTTCCAGGAGGAAGAGGATGCAGAGGAGACAGCCCATCACTGGTGGAGCGACACTTGCAAGAGCTCTGATGGCGCTGTCCTTCATCAAAGACAAGAAGCCATCTTTCAGCTGCTGGGAGGTAGAAAGAGGGAGAATCTACTGTGCTGGGGAGGGGTGGGGAGCGGGGCAGAGGGCAGTTGGCCCCAGTGAGTGGTCTTGCTTTCTGTCGCGTTTATTTGCTGTGAGAAGCTGGAGTCCAAGATTGAGGCATTGCGCTCACGCCTGTGAAATAAGGTTGTTCGAATTCTAAGTCACTGGCATTCTGAAGTTACAAGTGAGTGGCCGAGCAGAGCAGGAGCTCACCCAATGTCTGTGCTTACTGCCTCTTGTATGTGTAGCTGATAAGAAACTACTGGCCCATGCTGGAAGATAGTTTTATGTCCTTTAAATTTTATCTTGCAGGAAACTTTACTTTTAAAGTGTTAATTTAATTTTTTCCGAGTAAATATGTTGGGAAAAGGTGATACGTATTTTAAAGTAATTTCCCCAAGAAAATAGTTTCATTAGGAAAATCTGAAAGGTTCAAACTACAAACAAGATTGTATTAATACATATTGTGATTTAAACACATTTTTTACATTTACTTATTTGTATGTGTGTGTGTGTGTGTGTGTGTGTAACTCAGTTCTCTCCTTTCACTGCACGCACGCATTAGAGTCAAATCATCAGACTCCAGCAGGCGCCTTTGCTCACCGAGCTGCACCTGCCCCGTGTGAGCCTTTCTCTATTTAACACATCCCTTCTGTTTCTGTTCTGCTGAAGGAGTCTCCTCACCAGCGGAAATTCCTGCAGGTACTATTCTGGGATTGACAGTGAGGGATCCGAGAACGAATTTGCCCCCACAGCGGGCCAAAGCTTTGCCGCATCCGGAAAGACACCAAGGTAAGGTGTTGCCATGTTCCTGGTCGAGCTGTTGGGTCCCATGAGGTGTGTGTCCGAGGACATGGCGCGGAGAGTGTCTTTCAGGGAGGTGTAAACCACACAGCTAGCTGCTCAAGTTTGATGTTTTTCCCAGAGTCCTCAGTTTTCTCTAGTGTGTCTCTCTCTAGTATCCCAAACGCCTGGAGCTTCAGAATTTAGCTGTGAGGAAGGGATGTGCACCGGCAGCTGGTCTTGTGCTCTTTGGAAGCCTCTGTCTGACCATACAGATGATCCAGGTTCGAATCCTGGCAAGGCCATCCCAGGTGCTGAAGTATCAGACCACATGGTTTTGACAGAGTGGAGGGACCCACGCGAGCCACTTGGCTGGGAGGTGGGTTGGGACTGGCTAGAATTTTAAACTGATCTGGGATTGGCTGCAGCTGGGATGGTGTCATTTAAACACATTAAATAGGAGAAGCAGTGAAACTAGCTTCTGAGTTTGCGAGAGCATTTAAATGTGTCATAACAACTTCACAGTTTTGTTTCCAGCCTCTCTGCCTGTCCTTAGCTAGCTTACTAGGGACCAATAAATGGCCCCGTCAGAGGTCCACATAAAGGTGACTGAGGATTTGAAGACTCAGGTAAGTTAGTCACCATGGAGCCTGACTGCCTTGCTGTGGCTGTTTCATTCAGTGGTCTAGTGAAACCGCGTACATGGGAGGGTCTCCTGAGAATTACGTGCAGAGCTGCAGTTACTTCAGAGCCGCGGGTGGACTCTGCATCCCTCTGGCTTCCTCATTATCTATGTTTGGACGGGCAGTTCTAACACCCTTCCTAACAGGTTTAGCACGAATAGGTTAAAGAAGATTAAAGTCTGTCGTGAAACATGATCTGGTTTCTACTGTAAGATTCACTGTTAGACATTGTCGTGGATTTCATTCCAGCCTGTTTTTGTTGCTATTATTATGTTTTTTTGAGACAGGATCTCACTGGGTACCTCTGGCTGGCCTGGAACTCCCTTTGTAGAGCAGGCTGGCCTTGAACTCACGGAGCTCTGCCTCTGACTCCTGAGTGCTGTGATCATTAGAACCTGTTTTAAGTACTGTAATTTCTATGAAGATACTTTTATTTGATGTTGAGCTACATAAAGAAGTATACTTTTGGGCTGGGGATGTGGTTCAGTAGAGTGCTTGCCTACTATGTGAGTGGCCCTAGTTCAGTCCCTAGTTGTTTTGAGATAAGGACTTGCTATGTAGCTATGCTGGCCTGAACTTGTTATAAAGCCCAGGGTGGCCTTGAACATGTCAGTATTCCTGCCTCAGCATCCTCATGCTTGGTTTGTGGGCAAGAGTCAGATGCCTGGCAAGGAGTACACTCTTCACATGAATTAGCTGAATTAGTATTATATCTGTATTTTTTTCTCATCTAGCAAGCTGAGTCAAAACAAAGGGTAGAGATACACTTTTGGGGGGCTGGATCAGTGGAAAGATCAGTCCTTAGAAGACTCTCAACAGTAGGACATCTTACACGTAATTCCTTGACCTAGCCTAGTCTGCCTATAACTGAAATTGTTCTCTGCCCATTTTGACTTGAACAGGCAGCAATAGCAAAATCGACTCAAGTGCTTCTAGCTTGAAAGAGTTTGCCTGCTTTGGGTAACAAGCTCCTTATTTTCTTGTATTAACTGAAGCTTAGGCAGCTCTTAGAGGAACAGGTTCCTAGGAGCCTGACTGTATTCTCAGGCTTTGAAGAGGTTCTCCTGAGTGTTAATTATTAACATGTTTTTATAACACTTTCCAGCTTCATTAACAGAGTGGTTTACTGTGTAAGTGTCTTTGAGGCTGGAGGTGTAGGGTGGTGATAGAGCTTGTGCCTAACGTCGCACGGGCCTGGGTTCGAGTCCCAGCACTGGGGAAACGGGAGAAAACCTCAAACCACCTTTGTTCATTCGCTGTCTGCAGCGGTCGCTTACGTGCTTCCGCAGATTGTTTGGATTGGCTCTTGCCAGAGAAGAGCCTTGCTTTCACGTTGGCCTCGGAGGGTCAGTGACGGGGCATGTTCTAAGTGTGTGCATTGTAAGCGTGCACTCCGGCTTCTCACTCACTGGCTAGCAGAAAGAAAATACATTGTGTGTGTAGCTCCTTTAAAAAATTGCTCTTGAAATACTCTTTGGCCATATGTTCTTGCCATCACCACAGCCATGAAGGAGTCTGGTTGCCTTCAGAATGGCAGGTGGGCAGACATATTTTCCTTTTCTAGTGCTCGTGAGCACCGTTACAGCATAGGGCGGCCGTGAACTCCAGTGCTCGTGAACACTCTCACAGCACAGGGCAGCCGTGAACTCCAGTGCTCGTGAACACTCTCACAGCACAGGGCAGCCGTGGACTCCAGTGCTCGTGAACACTCTCATAGTACAGGGCGGCCGTGGACTCCAGTGCTTGTGAGCACCGTTACAGCATAGGGCAGCCGTGGCCTCCAGTGCTCGTGAGCACAGTTACAGTACAGGGCAGCTGTGGCCTCCAGTGCTCGCTCATGAACACTCCACGTCACCTTAGGCCTCGCTGCTCAGTCTCCAGGAGAAAGAGAGTTTGTAGGCCCTAGTGCCGCTCTCTGCAGCTCTGTCCTCCCTGAAATCTGTCGTGCCAGTGCCTAGTCACGCCCATCTTATTTTTCCCTGGCTGCAGACCCACACAGGTTTTTGCTTTTGAGTGAGTTCCGTGTTGGCATTTTGGAACAATAGCTGTCCCCTCCTCACCAGTTGAGTTTTAATTCTTCAGTCTGACAACATAGATTTGAAGGACTTTTTTCTGTCATGTTTAAGTGACGGTGTGGAAGTGTCCATGACTGAAAACCCTCCTTTCTGATATTCTGAGAGCAATGTGCCTTCCTTAAGAGACAGGACAGTTCACACATTGCTCTCCTTAAAGGAACGGAGAGGTGTGTTTTACAGACAGGAGTGACGAGCTCAGTAAAGTTAGTTCTAAGAGAACCGAGGGTAAAGGGAAGTGTCTTCTAGAAATTTGATTATCTCAAATTCAAGGGGCAACTTATAATTATTAGTATTGTGATTGTGTGTCTGCACAGAAGTAAATACCAAAGAAAAGTGTTTATTAGCCTTTGTTATTTCAAGGGCTAGGAAACCAACTATAAGAATAATGTAGTTTTTGTCTTCTAGTTTGGGACATGCCCGTCACTGCCGTCTGCCAGTGTTTGGACTGACGGAGAGAAAGTGTGGTTTGAAGGCTCTTTCTCTTCCCTCTTAGATAATGAGCAAGTTAGACAGCTGCTTCTGGAGGGCGTGCCCGTGGAGTGTGCCCACAGCTTCATCTGGAGCCGTGATATCTGTAGGAGTGTCACAGAGAGTAAAATCTCGGATCAGGTAACTAACGTGCCAGGATTAATGGTAAGATCCTGTCTTAGAGACTACAAAGTGATTTTATGTTTCCGTGTCCCATGTACCTATTTATACATTCTCTCCCCCACTCCACCCCAAGACAGGATTTCTCTGTGTAGCCCTGGCTGACCTGGAACTCACTTTGTAAATTTCCTCCTATGGCGATCTAGATGATCTAGAAGATCTAGTAAAGTCTATAAGGTCTAATAAGTTCTAAATAGATCTTGAAGGTCTAGGAAACTAAAATGTCTAGTAAGATCTAGAAGGTTAAGAAAGTCTAGGAAGCCGGGCGATGGTGGCGCACGCCTTTAATCCCAGCACTCAGGAGGCAGAGGCAGGTGGATCTCTGTGAGTTCGAGACCAGCCTGGTCTACAGAGCTAGTTCCAGGACAGGCTTCAAAGCCACAGAGAAACCCTGTCTCGAAAAACCAAAAAAAAAAAAAAAAAAAAGTCTAGGAAGGTCTAGAAGGCCTAGAAGATCTAGTAAGATATAGGAGGTCTAGAAGGTCTAGTAAGATCTAGAAGGTTAAGGTCTACAAAGTCTAGAAGGTCTAGGAAGGTCTGGAAGGTATAATAAGATCTAGAAGGTCTACAAAGTCTAGAAGATCTAGTAAGATATAGGAGGTCTAGGAAAGTCTAGAAGGTCTAGGAAGGTCTAGAAGGACGATCTAGAAGACAGTGACTGTTTCTATTGACTTGTTTTCTTCCCCTTTAGGATTTAAATCGGATGAGAAGTGAATTGCTGGTGCCAGGGTCACAGCTTGTTTTAGGGCCTCAAGAATCCAAGATTCCTATTCTTTTGATCCAACAGCCAGGAAAAGTGACTGGCGAAGACCGGCTGGGCTGGGGAAGTGGCTGGGATGTCCTCCTTCCCAAGGGTTGGGGCATGGCTTTTTGGATTCCATTTGTAAGTTGCCTTTTGATTTCACCCAATAGTTGCACTATTTAAAACACAGT